CATGGCAGTCCGGCATGGTTACCGTTCGGCTATGGAGGCAATTCTTAAATCGGTGGTTAATTATTACTTCAATGAATTCAGCATTATACTTTGGAACACATTTCAGTTTCTAATACTAGCAGTAAGCATAAAGTTATACGTTTATTAAGTTATATAATACTATATATATATACATATATATATATATAATATTAATAGTAAGTACTGTCACCTAACAATGTTAATAATATAACTAAAAGTTATAATGCAACAGTAATGTTTTATTACAAACCTTCAACATTCTTCTACACGTTAGATAAACTTAAACAACGAATTATTATAGGACAACAAAATATAGTTTACGATATAATGACACAAGACACAGTAAGGTCAATGTTATTCTCTGAGATCTCTGTTGCTAACCGCTTTCTGAGCGTGCAGCTGGTCTCAACTAGCTAATGAGACGTTTTTGAATTATAGTCCCTCTCCAATGACGCAATGACGCAAATTCCCTCTAGCGGCAATATTTTAATAGTTTTTAAGTCGTTTTCTATTAAGTTGTTCTATAGGTGCGATGTGGTAACATATGGGTAACGTTCATAATCTGATAAACAAGTTTTAGTAATATCATGGACTAATAACTGAAGAAGACTGCTAATCTCCATAGCACAGATCGTAACTCTGAAAAAGGTCAAAATCCCGTTTTACATTAAGATTGACTCAACTTTGACTAATATGCATGTCAATAGATGGCGCTAATACTAAACAAAATTAAAAGAATAGCCGGTAGCACGGAAGAAAAAACCATGGAAGTGCCGTAATCCTCGATTACAATCAGAATCGATGTCGCCAACTCACACATTCTTCTTCATTTGAAACACTTCAAAATCTTGATATTGATTGGTCGTAGTTTCAAATTTAAAAAGAAATAAAAAATTCTGGATTGTTAATATAATTTAAACTTTACCTTGTTGGCATACCGTTGAAGTTCAATCATCAATACCTATTGTTACAAGTTACGACGTTTTGATATTATATGAATTTCCATCCATCCATCTTGCATCTAGCCATCTAGCGGTTAATTGTAGAACGACTACAAATTGGAGTTATTAATTTAGTTCTCCAAACCAGAAGCGACGATATTGCAGGGGTATAGGCCTTACTTTCGTTAACGGATAATATTTCTGGTGCGGCTATCGTATTTGCACTCCAAAACAGCACAATATGACATTTTTATAGGATTTTACAGAATTTGCACGAAAGAATGACACAACCATACCATACAAAGCGAAAATGGCGGACTGAGCTCTGATAGGTCTGTCGAGACCTATAGTTGGCACGCATGAGATGCTAACTAACCACTTCTATTAATTCATTGTTCTGAGGCCGGCACTAACCATAAAAATCAGTGCAATAAACGCCATCTAGTTAATTTGTTTGTTACCAATATAAATTAGAGTTACAAAAATAGCTATGTGTACTCGTCGCGACATCTGTGTACCAATAGGTACTAAATGCTCGACCACGCTGTCTTGTACCTTGATTGGCAATCCTCTTGATTTATTGGTTAATGACAACATGAATACAATTTTGCTAGTGATTTCCTAATTTTGCTAGTGATTTCCTTATGACATTAATTTTTTGATAAACTACATCAAAACCAACGTTCAGCCTCTGTGGATGACCAGCGGACTGACTGGCTGCAAAAACAGTCCCATATCATTCTATATAAGTTCTGTTTACAGTGCCCCTCTCTATCAACCTCTTGGTTATGCGGGAAGGGCACTATGACTCGTGCGAGCGCTTTTTTACACGCACTTCATCCGGTTCTGTTTTTCTTCAAATTTGAATAGGACCTCTACCGAGGTAGTCCCATTCCAACAAAAAAAGAATCATCGAAATCGGTTCACGAATGTCGGAGTAACAAAGTTATACACAAAAAAAAATACAGACGGATTGAGAACCTCCACCTATTTATGAAGTCGGTTATATAGTTATCAATAATATTAGTGTTGACAAGAAATCACTAGAAATACTTTTGTTCGTTACTCACTTTATTCGTTATACCAAAACTTATAACGTCTGTACAGGACGTGATAATAATTTATTATTATTAATATCTCCACTGTTTTATAAATTGTCAAGTTAATGTAAGCTCATTTTTAATGGAAAAAAAAAAAAGTAATTACCAGAGAAATAAATACCTTACACAAGCACAATATCCTTATACCTTAATTTGTTAATGTAACAACCTTTCAGGACTTTCTGCCTTTTCCTGTTCTTCTTGAGCCTTCTTTTCTGGGACTTTTTTTTCTGCTGATTTCTTTGGTTCCTCGCGCGCGCCTAGTCTCTCTCTTATGGGTCTTTTGGGAAGTTTTAATTCTATTTGGGGCAGTTCCTGGGGTTCTTGTGGTTCTTTGGGAATCTCTTTTGGGATTTCTAAAGGTTTTGGCGGAATTGGGGAGGGGGATTTTTTGGACTGCAAAGGAGGTGTTGCCACAGCCACTGCTGGTGTTTGTGACGAGATTTCCTGAAATATAAAAAGCAAATATATCTACATGAAAAACTAATTACAGTTAGTCAAACAAAACATGGGAAACTAGTGTAACAATCGCGAAAACCTGAGAACTCGACAAAAAATAAATATTATTGCATATATGAATGTTATTTGTAATACACGCATAACACAATTGATTATTAATGCTTTAAAAATGTCTTCTGTAATTCCTGTTCAATAAAATATACAAATAATATATACTATCAGAGGTGAATCAGGTGGTTAACTCCCGTTCCCAGTCCGTAACACAATTACCGTGAAATAAGTAATACCCGACAAAATTAAAATTGACATTGTGTTTTGATTTAGTCGAGTATAACTTACTTGACTTAATTATTTGTTTATTTGAACGCCATGATATGATACTGATTGAATTGCACACTTATTTGATGACATAACGAAAACCACAATGACAGAAACAATCAAATATTACTAATAAAACTTAAATTAAAATTTAAAAACAGGTAAGGCGGTGTATTCCAAAAAGCCAAGAAAGATACCATCTGTAAGCTAACAACTCGTTGAGACCAATCTGATCAGCTCAAACATGACAATTTTATTGTAAATAGTTGAGGTATTTGGTAATCTGTAGACTGTCCTGGTTACAGCATCAGACCAAGGTATTCACAATATTGTAATTTCATTAGATTTCCGTAATATACCAAAACATTTCAAGTCACGCTTATTATTATTTTGGAACCGTCTGCGATGAGTCCTTGATCCATAAAGAGATCCTTACTATAGTTTTATGTCTTTGGAATGAAGAGTCCTGTGGCTCTTTCCTTACAAACAAATGGAAGTTTAGTAAATATGCATCTTATGACTGACGATCAAGCCAGGTGTTCATCAAACATGGTTAAAAACCATCCGATTAAGTTAGCCTTCAAATGAAAAAAATCTGCTTTGAGATCTGTCCATCTATTTGGGAGGTAGGATGCTACAGAAATAGAGAGAAAGGCTTCAATCTAGCTTCCCTCTTTCTGGGTCGGGGATCAAAAACACTAGCACGCAAGAACTATTTGCCCTCCATTATTATTTTGAACAAAAACAAATAGTATAATACTACTAATTATAGGAGATTACACTTGCGGTATTGGATGCAACTTAGTCTTTGCCACGGAAACAAGACAATCTACCTTTATCGCCTTCATTTACGCATTAGTAATTATTCTTTACCAAACAAACAAACTCTATCGACATGACTTGCCATTTGAATTCGCGTAATTGAAACGATATGGATCATGCTCATTTTTTACTAAGATCGAAAGAGACAGCTACTCAGTACTTTTCTGTGCAAAAGAATATTCGAGGCGATGTGCAGCTTGCCTTGTCAAACAAAACAATCAGCCATTTTGTAAGGCATTGCACAGCTAGACAATCGGATAAAAGAACCAGGCGTTTTATTTCTTGAAAATTATGTGAAAATGTAAATCAGTTAATTATATTACATGTCTCATTATTAGAGAAGGGAAGATTAAAGAAAAGAGAGGCAGGGGAAGACCTAGCAAGCAAGTGACAAGTTGTCATTTCTGGAACCCAAAGATAGAGCAGTAAATAGTGATAGTTGGAAGTTATTCCACTAATAATAATAATAACGCACACACTCAACATAGCCCCGCACTAGGGAAACCCTGTGTCGCGGGTGCTATGGACACACACATAGACAACCACAAATTACACCCAAATTCACGAGAGAAATAAATATAGGCCATATAAATATTTCTCCTGGCCCGGGAATCAAACCTGGGACCTCTGCGTGGCAGTCCGGCAGGGTAACCGTTCGGCCACGGAGACAGTCCACTGACAAGAGTGTAGGTTTTAAATTAAATGTTTGTTTAAGAATGTTGTCTTGATTGAATAAATTGTTAAGGCTAGCCAATCATTGACTTACAAATAAATGGACGACGGGTCTAATACAAAAACCACGAAGAAAATGTCCCAAGTCAACCTATTCGAAATTTAAATTGTAATGTCATAGCAGTATCGCGCTGTCAGTCGAACAAATGAAGACTAAAGCGGAGTTTGGCGCTCTGTATACGATTTTAACGCCTTACAAGTTCGGACACTTTTTAGCGCGGACCCGACGTCCATATAATTGTAAGTCAATGTAGCCAATGTATATTGTGTATAATGACATTTCACCACTGCAGTATATCTTACTTATAATGGGCCTCACAAAACAAAGAGTTAAGTTAAAATTACCTGAAAGACATCTTCAGCAAAATCATTCATTAATTCTTCCGCCTCAGTCCTAATAGTCAAAAAATCCTCATCATCAGACATGGAATCTAACTGTTCAACCAGTTTCTGTTTCAAACCTTGTATCTTTGCTTCAATTTCGTTAATTTCTTTTATCTGTTCGTCTCTAGGAGCCCCTTGCACTATATCTGTACTAAGTTCATTATCCAAAGTACTGGTTTCACCAGCTTCGATACCAATTTCATTACATATAGTGCCAGATTCATTCGCAATAGTATTAGACTCAATAGTTTTGGTACTAATTTCGGGCTCAGATTGACTTGGTATGGTAGCTGGATCAATAATGGGCAAAATAGGCCTTTTTATTTCCTTGATCACCGGTTTTACATCTATAATTTCTTCTTTTTTAGGAGAATCTATGGTTACACCATGTTTCTTTAAAATCTGACCAGCAAAGACATCAGTAATTGATGGTTCAGATTCTTTCTCCATATTCATAAGCAAAGGTGGTACATTAGGATGTACCATTTCATAATGTTTGCTCTTTTTCTTGCTTTTATGAACCTTCTTCTCGTCTTTCTTACGATGCGACTTATCTTTATGTTTCTTTTTTCCTTTCTTCAAGTGATCAGTTTTCTTTGCTTTTGTTTTGTCCTTTTCCTTTTTATCTTTTGCTTTCTTTTCTTTTGACTTTTCCTTACTCTTTTCTATTTCTGGTTCTGAAAAAAAGATTTGTTTATATGAGAGATAATGAAATAAGCACTTAGGTGGTAATAATTTAAAGATAAGAGTGTGTGGCACCGCAGCAGATATCTCAGACATCGCCGCTCTAACTGTTTACTATGTAATGCAATGACTTTCAGCGTATGCTGCGGCATTGCACTGTTACAGCTGGCAGGATACAAAGTCAACATTAAAAGATGGGATTCATTCCCAACAGATATTAAAGCATCAACCTTTCTGATATTTTATAGCATTGATTGATAACTATTTATAAATTCTTGTGTTTGAGCCCATGAAACCATAAAAGGTATTTTTTGGTGAAAGTTTGGGAGGCATTCTCCGACCTCCTTGCACGCTGGGTTATGGCCAAAAAGAAGAAAATAAAAACGTCATTGAGACGAAAAATTGATACGAAATTACAAAACCGCTGCTGAAAATGTAAAACCGCTTATCAGTAATTATTTATAATATTCATTCGTCGCAAACAAGAAATTATCTCCTAACCGCGCCGCCAGCACGCATCTGCACGGGAGTTAAAAGTGAGTGTCACCAATAATTATCCAAAATTACATATATTGGTTTTATGGGTAAATTCTTCGGAACGGAAGGAACAAAGTCCACTGCCTCCTTTAACATTTGAGCCCCTTCAAATTTTTGGCCTACGAGCCGAACGTTCTGTAAGTTTTCCTAAAATTTTCGGTTTTATTTCAAAATTCTCATCTGCCATACGTAAAACGTATTTGTATTTGTACTCCCTTTAACTCCTCTTTTTCATACCTATAGGCCATTGAGACCTGGGTTCTACCTCTAATTATCGCATTTCCGCAATATTTTAATATTTCCCTGCATTTTCAGTTAGAATTTTATAAATTAAAATTCATAATACCGCTTTGAAATTTGTACGTACGGAAACGTCATTATTATACGACTCGGTTAAAGTGCTTGTAGTGCTTGACAAATACTATTTCGTCTCACTTACACTTATGGCCACGTCATATGTTTTTACGCTGTAGACACAAAGTTAATACAATTTAGAATTTAGAATTTGAATTATTTTGGTTGTGTTCTAGTGTTTCATTCCATCCCATTTTTTTGACATAGCGTCATTTTAATAGAAGAAATGGAGAATAAAATCTCACTTTTATCAAGTAAACGTGATTCTTACCTTTCACGCATTCAAAGCATTTATGATGCCATACCGAAAACGAAGCGTGATAAAATTGCTAAGTTTTTAATACAAGCTGATAACATTCAACATTTCCGCCTTGTCAAATTTAGAAAGCTTTATTGATCACTTTTCGACTTCGGTATCCGCTTTACGTCAGTTGAACATTTAAAGAATTGACCGACTTCATTTTTGTACACTTGGCATTACGCATGTTGGTTGCATTTATACTTGTGTAAAGCATTTGAAATGTCTCTTAACAGCAGCGATGTATTTCCTAAATATGACGAATTTCTATCATTTATTCGCGATCAAACAAAAATATTACAACGTACTACTACAGTCACGTCAACGTCGCATCCATACGTAGGCAACCATGCTCAACGAAGCCATCCAACTCCCGCGACTCGCACGCATCTTACGCATATTTATTTATTTATTTATTTAAACTTTATTGTACAATACACTAAAGTACAAATGGCGGACTTAATGCCATAAGGCAATCTCTACCAGTCAACCATTGGGCCAAACAGGAAAAAAAACACAATAGGTTGGTGCTACACTTAAACAAGAAGAACAATATACTAGAAAACTAATCGATAATTTGTATGGTATAAATAAATAACATACTATAAACATACTTATTATGCATACATAATAAACTTACATATATATATTATAATAATAAATAATATGATATATGTACCCAAAGCAACATTATACAGTGTCTTAATTTTGACAATTGTCAAACAGATGCTTGCGCAACATGCGCTTGAAAGATAATTTGGTCTGAGCTTGTCTTACACGAAGCGGGAGCGCGTTCCAAAGACGAATTGCATGAAGGGTAAAAGAATTAGACAAAAAATCAGTGCGATGAGAAGGAATAGAAAGCTTAAGGCTACGGGAAGATCGAAATTCACAACCCGGCCGAGCGTTTTGAAATTGAAATGAACATTTAAGATAATCAGGTGCAGCCGGGTCGAACAAGATGGAGAAAAGTGTGGTTAAAATTCTTAAGGACCTGCGTTCACGGATGGGAAGCCAATTTAGTTGACGACGAAAAGCAGAGATGTGGTCATACTTCCGCAGACCAAAAATAAACCTAATACAGTTGTTAAGAAGACGATCTAATCTATTCAAAAAGGTTTGAGAGATGTTACTGTAACACACGTCAGCATAATCAATCACAGGCAACACTAGAGCTTGAACAAGGAGAGTTTTGGTTTTAATTGGAAGAAAGTTCTTAAATCTGTAAAGAGCTCTTATAGTGTCTGTAACCCTACGACAAACGTCAGACACCTGGGAATCCCACGTAAGGCCTGTGTCAATAATAAGCCCCAGGTTCTTTACCTGATTTGACAGAGGAATCACTACGTTCTCAAACATTATTGGTGGCACGCACGACAGATCACAAGACGAAAAAAGGCGTGAGCTTCCAAGGATGATGGCTTGACACTTAGAAGGGTTGACATTGATACCAAACTTTTGGGACCAAACCGAGACGCGATGAAGGTCATCATTAATTAATACAATTGCATCACTTATGCCACCGACATTAACCTCGGTATAAAGCTGCAAGTCGTCGGCATACAGGTGGTAAGAACATTTGATGCTGGACGTAATCAGATTTATGAAAATAGAAAACAAGAGAGGAGAGAGAATTCCGCCCTGAGGTACCCCCGAAAGTGAGTTTACACCATTCTGAGAACGAGCGATCAATACGAATCGCTTGTTGGCGATCGCGGAGATAAGAAGAGAACCATTGAGCTGCCGTTGAAGAGATGTTTAGGTGGTCTAAGGTAGCAAGGAGAAGGTCATGATCCACGGCGTTGAATGCATTGGAGAAGTCAATTAGGACCAGCACAGTAAGTAGAGTACAGTCCATGCCCCTCCTTACATCCTCAACAATCTTTAGCAATGCAGTAGAAGTACTATGACCTGGTCGAAAACCTGATTGAAATGGAGAAAGGATATTGTTTGAGTAAACATAGGCAGACAATTGTTTGTGAACGATAGCCTCTAAGACTTTGGAAAGAAAAGGAAGAATTGAGATGGGACGGTAATGCTTGAGGAGACTGGGGTTAGTAACTTTTGGAAGAGGGATTACATGAGCATTTCGCCACAGAGAAGGAAAAGCCCCAGTCGTCATCGAGAAATTAACTACGTGCGTGATAATAGGGAGTATACATTCTAAAATACACATAACCATAATTCTACTTACGTCATCGTGCCCAACAGCATTGGATTTGATTGACAAAACCACTTTCCTGACCTCATCTTCAGTTACTGAGGTGAAAATAAATACAGAATTTGAAATTTTGGGCAGTGCTCTAATAAATGCAATACTTTGTTGTTTGGTGTTGGTGTCCAAAGTTGCAGTTTTGGCAAAGTGAGTATTCAGCTCATTTAAGGAGAAGGAAGAAGTTATATTGTACGAAATTTGCGGTTTACCTACACCAATGGATTTTAGGAATTTCCAAGTGTTAACGGGGGAAGAATGTAAAATATTTTCATAAATATGTTTACGTTTGGCTGCTCTTACCATCTGATTACACCTATTTCTTGCTGCTTTAAAACAGAGCCAATTTTCCTCACATCGGTCGCGTTTGTATTTCCTAAACGCACGATCTCGTCTTGTCATTGCAATACGGACTGCTCGAGTTATCCACGGCGCAGGAGGGCGCTTAAGTTTGACAGATCGAATTGGCGCGTGAGTGTCAAAAAGTTTCAGAACTGCGGAATTTAGTGAAAACACCGCCTCATCGACTGTTGATGCTGACAACGTAGGGCCCCAATCAAAAGCCTGCGCGTCCTTTTTTAACACTTCCATGTCAAGTCTCGCGAAACTACGTAGTTCAATTGTAACAGGCTGAGCCTTAAGTGGTTTAATTTTGTAGCTCAAGTAAATGAGGTCATGACGTGAAAAACCTGGTGCCAAAAATTGTCCAGCCTTGCCCACGTGATCAATAGAGGAGGCAAGTATAAGATCTAGCCAGGTATCCGACGCGTCTACGTTGTGATGAGTAGGCTCAAGAGGTAGAACGGTTAGAGCTACAGATTCAATCACTGCTTTCAAAGAACGAGCTCTCATGCTGTTTTTCATGAGGTCGGTATTAAAATCGCCCATGATTATTTGATGAGTGTATTCAGCACTAAGAGATGAGAGGAAAGTTTCGAACGAAGAGAAGTAATCTATAGAAGGAGGACAGTAAACAACCCCTAGAGCCACTTTTATACCCTTTACCTTGATCTGATGAGCAAGTGTTCCAAAGAACTGGAGTATAGAGAGGGAGAAGAAGAAAGAATTTTGAAAGGAACGTCATTACGGATGTAAATGGCAACGCCTCCGCCACCCTTTCCCGTGCGGTCATTGCGGAGTAATATGAAACCAGGAAGACTAAAAGATGTAGAAGCAAGGTTTGGTTTAAGCCAGGTTTCTGAAATCAGAATAGCATGAATATTAGGAGAAGAGAAAGTGTCAAGTAGGTCGTTATAGTGGCTAGGGATGCTTTGGGCATTTATATGACAGACGTTTAGAAAGTTCGTGAAGTTTTGGAATTCGCGCGTTAATGAATCGCCAAGGGTACCAGTATTATGAAACTCAGATTCTTCACTATCAATAGAAAGAAAAGACGAAGGCGAGTTGCAAGCTGAGTAAAAAGAGTCATCATCTGACATGACGTGTTGCGTAGGTAAAAATAGAGGTATAATAAATAAATATGAATTGTATAAAAAAATAATACTTAATATAAAATATAATAATATATATATAAAAAAAAATAAAGTTTCGAAGTATGGGTTCTGTGTAACACACCAGTCGACCGTAAATTAAAAACTATAAGACTTATATAAAACAAGTTACATTGGTTATCGGCCCGCCGCCAGTAAACAAAAAAAAAAAGCATTCCATGAACAATTTCTGAACGCAACCGAATTACTACCAGCTGTCAAAATCAAAAACAAAAATAATCAAATTTTTACAGATTGCCTAGCCTACCTTAATTACTTATATATGCATATGCAAACGTTTTTAGCAAATAACAGTAACAACCCTATTTGCAATTATTGTAAAAGTAACAAACATGCCAATTTGTATCAATGCGAACCCTTTTTGAAATTATCGCCAATAGAAAAATATAATATAATTAAAAAATGTAATGGTTGTGTGAATTGTTTAAGTGTGCGTCATACTTTATCGACGTGTAAGGCGAATTCTACTTGCAGACATTGCAATAAGGCCCATGATAGCCAATGGTGCCGCAGATTGATTGAGCGCCCAAATGTCTCTAATCAGGGATATTACTGTAATGCTAATAAAGGTCAACCTAGACCTCCCGCACCGCTCCCAGCTGTACAACTCACGTCTTCAGCCGCGACCGTCCATGCCGCACAGCCAGTACGTCCACATATCAACTCCGCGCCGTCTTCGGTTCAACATGGCCCCTCTGATATTTCTCCAGGCCTTCCGCACACTAATAATAATAATGCTGTAGGTTTCTCGGGCACTGCTACGATCAATCAAGCCTCGCATAAGACAGTATTGTTAGGAACTGCAACCGTACAGGTATTAGATGCCTTTGGTAATCGCCGCGATTTAAGAGTTCTGGTTGACATAGGTTCTCAGAAACATTTTGTGACGTCACGCTGTTTACGTACGTTGGGGTTGAAATTTACACCTGACAATAAAAATACGTCAGTACATGGTATTGGAGAAAGTTCTCAGTCTATAAAGGGAACGTCAAATCTCACGCTGTTTTCGCGATTTGATCCGTCTTTTTCGTTAAACTTGCAAGCATTGGTCATTGATACAATATCTGGTAATCTTCCGCCGTGTCAAATAAATACCACTTTATTATTATTATTTACAGGACATTCAATTCAGTGATAGTCATTGGTACTTGTCGGGTAAAATTGTTTTACTGCTGGGCGCTGAAAATTTCGTAGTGTATAATGAAAAATAATCGCATTATCGGCCCACCTGGTTTACCCGACGCGATTGAAACTGTCTTCGGATGTCATTTCCGGATCCGCTAATACAGTAGATGCTCAGTCGTCTTCTGTACAAACATTCTTCACCACAACTGACAATGTTGATACTCTCCTTTCTAAATTTTGGGAAACGGAAGAGGTTCCCATCCGCAAATATCTGTCTACTGAAGATAAGGTGTGTGAACAAATTTATACGCAACAAACTAATGGAAATGATCTCGGTCGGTATGTTGTTCCGCTACCGTTTTGTCGCGATCCGCTTGATTTAGGCGATTCCTTATCTACCGCGACACGCAGATATAATTCATTGGAAAGAAAGTTTAAACAAAATAATGTTATTCATCAATAATATGATGAAATTATCCGCGACTATTTAGAAAAGGGATACATTTCTTTAGCGAAAGACTTGGAAAATGATTCCAGTTCCTATATTATACCGCATCACCCTGTCGTTAAAGATATAGTATAGAAGAATAGTCCGCGTGGTATCCGTACGTACTAATTCAGGCACTTATCAAAGGCCAGTGGTAAAGGTTTCCCCTTTACCTCTGCAGTAAAATTAACTTTTAAGTTTTTGTCATACCGCACATTTTGTTTCTTATAATGTAAGTATTATGTTTTGTTTGACTTCTTGGGGAAAGAAGTATGTTACGTTCGCATCCTCGCATGTGTTTTTTATCTTTATTTCTTTCTCGCTCTTTGTTTAAAAGTTAGAAGAACAAAGAGATCTTTGTCCGTCTAGGTGGGGGGAATGTTTGAGCCCATGAAACCATTAAAGGTATTTTTTGGTGAACGATTGGGCGGCAGTCTCCGACCTCCTTGCGCGCTGGGCTATGGCCAAAAAGAAGAAAATAAAAACGTCATTGAGACGAAAAATTGATAGGAAATTACAAAACCGCTGCTGAAAATGTAAAACCGCTTATCAGTAATTATTTATAATATTCATTCGTCGCAAACAATGAATTATCTTCTAACCGCCGCCAGTACGCATCTGCACGGGAGTTAAAGGTAAGTGTCACCAATATTTTTCCAAAATTACATTTCTTGGTTTTATGGATAAATTCTTCCGAACGGAAGGAACAAAGTCCACTGCCTCCTTTAACATCTGAGCCCCTTCAATTTGAAGTCTTGAGAAACGTCAATAGAAATTTAACTGCAAATAATTAGGGTTGTAAACATACTTAGAGGTGCAGTAATAGTGACTTCTTGCAGTTTCTTCAGCACCTGGTGAAGCCAGTTAACAAACAGCTCTGTGTTGTCGCCAAGAAAAAGCTGTAGATCATCTTCCATCTGAGTGCGGGTCCGTTTATTGGCTACCATTACCATTACATAATCAGGGAGTTCATCATCTGAAAAACGTTTAATACAATACACGCTTGCATTTTGTTGTTTTATTTTTTTTTTCTGATATAATTCAAATATGGTATTTTAAGCCTTTTCACTGTTGTCAATGGAATGGAAGTGGCAACTGATAATTATAAATAACAATGGTGAACTTTGTCAAAAATTCACAGACCAGGTACAATTCAGAATGAATTCACACATCAACTCAAGAATTAATAATAATATTATATTATTAATTTATATAATAATAGATAGCCGAGATTCTTGTAAAAATGTTCAAAGTCACATTGTGTATGACAAGGAACAATAGCCAGATGTAATATTTTGATCATTGTCTTCTTCCATTGGAAGAAAACATATTTTTTAAATGGAAATCAATTAAACAATTATCAAACAACAAAGAGTCAATTACGGGAGTCATCATACTTATCAATGCGGAATCCTCTTCAGCTAATCAGATAAAAGTTTTATGACAATATACATATAACTGTTGCAAAACGTATAACGTCATATTTGCTATTATTACATGGATTTAAAGCTTTTTATAATAATAATAATAATAATAATGCACACACTCAACATAGCCCCGCACTAGGGAAACCCTGTGTCGCGGGTGCCATGGACACACACATATACAACCACAAATTACACCCAAACTCACGAGATAAATAAATGTAGGCCATACAAATACCTCTCCCGGCCCGGGAATCGAACCTGGGACCTCTGCGTGGCAGTCCGGCATGGTAACCGCTCGGCCACAGAGGCAGTAATTTTATGATTGGCGTGATGTGATTCCATGTGCATAAATGTGGTAACTCCCTAAATAACCATATCACTGCTTTTCAACATTGGTGGCCCAAACTAAAACAGTTAAGTTTTGCTTCATTACATAGTAGAATCAGAATTCTTTCTATCTACAACAGGACTTTAGATTAAATAATCATGACATTGGGCTAACATTGTTGTGAACTTTCTCAAAGGGATATACAGGTGTAATCATAACTTTTCATCATTCATGAAGAAGAAGACAAGAAATAATAAGTTGAGGTATCAGTAGGGCTAGCGCGATAAGGCGTGACATAAAGCGCGAGATCTCTATGTTAGAATAGTAGTAGCTCGCGCTTTATGTCGCGCCCTGTCGTGCTAGCCCTAGTCCTTTAATTGGAATTTCTTTACACTCTTTTGAGACCTCCTAATTTTTTGAAAGTCGGTTACTAATAGGGTCACTTTCAAAAAATGATTGTAAATTAATTTGCCACTCTGCGAACCCAGTGAAGGTTGCTGTGCTGATGTGAAGTAGTGGTAAAGTTGCTGTGCTCGTGTTGAGCTGAATCTTTTTTTGTAACATCAAGTGACGGGACAAACAAGTCATGCACCTGATGGTAAGCTACACACCTGTCCATAACAGTTACAGTGTCACTCAGAGCTTTAAATTGCAAAGTTCTGAGGGGCACTACCACTGCGCCCGTCACCCTGAGACATAAGTTGACAAGTCCCATGTGCCTGTAATTTCACTAGCACCCTTACCCTTCAAAACCAGAACACAGTAATGCTGACATTACTGCTTGGCGGCAGAAATAGGTAAGGTGGCAGTACTACCCTGTACGAACTCTTTCACAAGGAGTTCTACTGCTGCTATCTATTAATTGAGGGTTGCTTACCAACATAGCATCCTAATTCTGTAAGTTTTGCTTTGATGGCAGACTGAAAACAATAAAAATAAAGACATAAAGATTTTAATACATCACAGGGACACACACTGTGGAGTCACATCCTAAACACTGTTATTTCATATCTTGCAGCAGTTTAATAGGCTATATCAATTAATAAATTATTAATACTCTGTTTCCCAACATACTCTATCATCGTTACTTTTTATTTTTTTTACGATGGCAACTGACGGGTTAAACTAGTCCTACACCTCATAGTAAACTTTGAATATTTTAAATCACAAAAATCTAAGAGGCACTGCCCCTACGCCTGTCTGTAATTTCATCAGGACCCCAATTCAGAACTCTTCAATATTTTAACCAAATTTTTAAATTGGACATTGTTCTCGAATCAAAGAGCGCTTTCCAAGCTATCCAGAACATTCCAAGTTAAACGTACGATTCCGATACAATATTGTTATCCAACAGCGTGTACAGTGCTAGTCAGTAAAAAGGTTACAAGAAAAATTAAAATCCTTTTATATACATTTTTAAGACTTTATAGGCCTAAAATATAGGAATGCATTAGTCTTGCATTAAAATAAATTAATAAAATTTAACAAAATCCAGACCTTATTTAAACGAGAATTTCGGTAATCGTACGGGTGGGTGTGATGTCATTTAAGCTTGGTTTCGAATACGACAGTTTGACGATCGGTTCGAGTGTTGTAAATAAAAATGAAAAGAAATATGTCGACAACTGCGTTATCGAAGGTTCGGATTCGGATCCCAGCACCCTTACCATTCAAAACCGAAAAGCAGTAAAAATCACATTGCAGCTTGGCGGCAGAAATCTGTCACAAGAAACTATACTGCTGCTAAACTACTACATCTAATGTAACATTCATTTCGCAATTCTTAAATTGTGCCGGGAAAAATCGATACATAATGTAGGTTACAAATTGCATTCTAAAGGTCAACGTTCAGTGTCGAAATTTACGTTAATTGCGTCACCTCACATACAGCAACATTAAACGATTATTACTATTATATTTCCTTACCACGGCATGACTTTTTCACATATTTCCTGTTGGGTAAGTAATCCGTAGCTTATGATAATCGTTTAATGAGTACCCACGAGTCGTAATATCTATATACAGAAATATTATTTAAACATATTGGGAATTATTTGTCCTATCGTTTTTAGTACTAAAACACAGTAAAATCCAGTAAAAACTGCAATATTTACCCGCATTTTCTGCCCAATCTCGCTCCCGACAACATCCATTTTTAATGTTATAACCACTACTACAGACACAAGATGAACGAAAATTATTATATAACCTAAATAATTTATAATGTTTATATTTTCAGCAAAATTTACGTCCTAGAATCACAATTATTACGACAAATACGAAAATATTTTTATGACAAATTATCTGCCATTTATTTTTGAACACTTTTTAATTCGCAGGCTTGGGCATCTTGTAACTTGTATTTTTTCAATTGATTAAAAATAAGTTTTATGTTATGAGTATAACGACCACAAGAGGTTTATGAGGTGACCACAAAACATAAAATCTCTGCTTCAGATAGGAATGAACAGCAGTTATTTTTTTGTTGTTTAATATAATTTATGAGGGTTCGGTTACAGGATGGAAAAAAAATAAAAGAATGGAGCTGCCCTAACTGCGGAATGAACGTGTATACCTAAACAAAAATTGAACGAACAAATGGCAGATTTGTTTAGTGTCGTACCATAATCTATCGATAAATCATTATCGACATTCAAACATTTAATTAAAATAGATCAATATTCCATTTGGGAATATAGGTTATTATGAGAATAACCGGGACGTCACATGAAATTTTGAATTTATTGTTTTGCGTTTACAAATACTCAAATATTACGAAAAGTGAACTTGCGCAGAAAACAAAAATATTTGTAATTTGAGAATATAGAAAAAAGAGAAAACTTTAAAATATAAATCCCATACATTTACAACCTCAAGATTTTTATTTTCATAGAGATTTTTAAACAGGTTCCAAATAGTGTACGCTTTTTTGTATTTATGCATTGGTATAGAATTAATATCAGTGACTGATTTAAGTGAATTTCAATACTTCCATTTAGTTTTGGAAATAAATGAAAGTATTAATATTATGAATAATAATATTATTATCATACGTTTATTTGCTTGAAACATGGTATAACAAGAGATGTAACAAGAGACAGTGTTAGTATAAACATGTTTCGCATATATGAAATAGCATGCAAATGTCTGATCATACAATGCCAATAGTTGTCTATTGGCCGAGCGCCATTGATTTGTGCAGAAAAATCGACACTTCTCCGAAGTGAGACAAGAGGTCACGAGCGACTGCGAGTTGTGACAAGCCATGTTAAACGGGCTATACAGGGTGATTGGTAATTCGATACATTCCTTTTAAGGGGTGAAAGTAGACCTAATTTGAAGCAAATTAAGTCAAGTTATACCCTATCCGAAAATTAGTAGTTTCAAAGACATTGAAGATTTAAAGTTTTAAAAAAAAATCCCGATTCTCAGCTTTGTTATTTTTTTGGAATTTTATTTCTGTCCGTTTCTGGTTTGTTTTTATTTTATCTAGTAGTTATTGAATTAAAGTTATTGTTTAATAGCAATAGAGTACGAAATAACTGTTAAATTTGCCATAGTGGTTCAAAAATGATGAGAACTACCGAAAAAGAAACAACAATTTATTTATTAAAAGGAGTGCCTTGTAAAAAAATTATATGGAACGATGTGTACAAATTACTTAAATTACTTCTTTGTATTGTTACCTATT